TTCGCGCCCGAACGGGCTGGAGGGATAGGCGGACCCCAGACATGTGGATACGAGAGTGAGAATACGACGACTACGAGAGTGAGAATACGACGTGCCCCATGGAGTATCCCCACAGAGCCTTCCTTCCACATCACCTCAACACTTCGGGGAGACACGCGGACCCCCGCAGAGTAGACTCGATGATGTGAATTTGCAGACGACGAAGAGCAGGAGGGGGGTGAGGAGGAGGATGAGGAAATCGAGGAGATATCGTGATCGTGGATGATGGATGGCGCAAGATGGAGGACGAAGGAATGATGACACGGAGGGAAGGATCGAGGACGAAGAGAATGGGGAGGAGGGGGGGTGTAACATTGAATCTGGGGGTGTAGAGCAGACATGGCAGCGGGTGTATCGCGGACGAATCCGCACCCTCCTTCAGTTAATCGTTGGTGCGCGGCCAGTGCTTGCAGCCGTGCGGATGGTGCGGCCAGTAACATGCTAATGCGAGGAGTATGTGCACCCTGGTCGGATTTGGTCCTCCAGGAAGGTCTTCTAAGACAGCGAGGTCTCACGCACATCTTGAGCCATCTGTTCCCGTTCCGATATTCTGGCACGTGGCATTGCTCACCGTATCGGATGTGGCCATCGCGAGAACCCCAGATAGCTCATCGACGACAGGAAGCGACGAGTTTTGCGATGAGCGAAACAGGTCCGGGCCAACGTCCGGCGATTGCGGCGAAGTATCGAGCCAAAAACGACATTTTGGCCTCGGGGTGCCGTCGTTTGAGCGGCAGTTGAAACAAAAGCGCCGTTCATGCTCCTGGTGGTGGGTGTATCGGAATACCGCGCGCGTGGATTGCGTTGTTTTGTTTTCGCGTAGCACGTGTCACATGAAAGCGTCGCACAGGAGGCAGGGAAACATTGATGGCAAGTGGGCCCTGCGAGGACAACGCGTTCCAGACATGGACATTGAGCCAGGGACAGTCGGGAACAAGGCCGAACCAAGGAAATTGAATAACATGGCCACGCTGGGATGCCGCGCGATTGCCCCGCGCCCCCAGCGACACAGTCGACAATTTCATCGCGTACCAAGTGCGCCGTGGCCTTGTCCACCTTCGTCAACGGCCCACTGGGCGGCGGGTGTTCCCCCCCCCCCACACTCTCGCCCCCTCATTGTGCGAGGGGAACACATTGAAAGGTGCGTTCGCGATCTGCGCATTCATCTGTCGTGAAGACTGGGTGTGTTCCATTCCACCAAAATCGCAGATGAAAGCGTTGCACAGGAGGCAGGGAAACAATGATGGCAAGTGGGCCTTGCGAGGACAACGCGTTCCAGACATGGACATTGAGCCAGGGGCGCTCGGGAACAGGGCCGAACCAAGGAAATTGAATAACATGGCCACACTGGGATGCCGCGCGATTGCCCCGCCCCCAGCGACACAGTCGACAATTTCATCGCGTACCAGGTGCGCCGTGGCCTTGTCCACCTTCGTCAACGGCCCATTGGGCGGCGGGTGTTTCCCCCCCCCTCTCACCCCCTCATTGTGCGAGGAGAACACATTGAAAGGTGCGTTCGCGATCTGCGCATTCATCTGTCGTGAAGACTGGGTGTGTTCCACCAAAATCGCAGCGGACATGTTTCGAATACTCGCGCGCGGTCGCAGTCATTAGCCTGATCAGTTCCACCGCGTCAGGGCTTACCCCAATCTGATCGGGCCAATTCAAAAACCGAGCTATGGCAATCCGATGCGGACCGGCTCTTGCCTGGCGGTGTTGTGCATCTTGGCGCGGCCGATCCGATTATTTTTTCGCCGTGGCGATGCGGCCCGGTTCCACGCGCAATCAATCCGATGATGTTTAATCGTGCGTTCGCGGTGGTATTTACCATTTTCGAGCTTTGATTATCCAGTTGCGCGCGTTGCCGTGTGTTTTGGATGTTGGTTGCAGGCGCCTGGTCTCCAGATGCCCGTGCTTCTTCCATCCATCTGCAACGGCGTTTTTGGCTGTGCGACAGTGCTTCCTCATGGCAGGCTCGCGTCGCGACGCGGCGGCGAACCTGCTGGCGTTCAACGCTAGCGCCGCCAATGATACGGTGTTCCAAATTTGCCGGTCAGTCAAAGTTGAACGATCCACGCGGAGCACGAACTCAACGCCGACGTCGTCACGAAACGATATCCGCGTCATGGGAATCAACGCCGCGATGTTTTCAGCGGGTGGCCTTTTGTTGTTGTTTTGCCCTTGCGCTGTCTAGTGCGAGTTTTCGTTGGGGGATGGCTATTCGGATGCAAGTCGTAAGCAGTTAAATTCAGCATCGGCGTTGGTTTTTCCTTGGTCGAAAACTGGGAGGATTCGGCACGATCCCGGTTGATATGGTTTGATCCCGCTTAATATGACGGAGTCCTGAGCCTAATCTGGTCTAGTTTGGCTTAGTGGCCCAATGATTTGGTTCAATCTGTTTTCATTGCGTTTTCGCGAAGGCCGCCAAGGAGTTACCGATTTGAGTACCTTGTGGAGGACGGGGGTTCCAAGTTCGCGTCGGGTCGACTGGCAGCGACCCCGCCGCAGGCGTTCAACGTTGAACGCCGCCGGCTACCCAGAATCCGCTGATGCTGAACGATTCGGCGTTTTTTTCAGCCACGCGCAGAGAGGGGGTAGGGGAGGGGGAGGGGGGACGCCTTGTTGGAAACACCCTTGCTTCTTAGAAGGCGCGGGCCTGGTCTTTGGATGTGAGGCTGGCGCCTTCTAGGGAGCAGCCTCCTTTTGAGAAGCCTTCCCCCTTCCCTGTGCCCCTTGGCGCGCGCCGCAAACTTGTGGAAACGGCCAATCGTTCCAGGTTGGGCGACCCCCGCGGCGCCACGAGCCCAGCGCCGAGGTCGGCACGGCACGAGTCGCCGCCGCAACCGCCCGCACACACGCCTCGCGCAGCCGCTCGGGCTGGAACCAAGCTCGGCGGCGCCACGGACCCCGCGCGCGCGGGCGCGCCGGGGCAGCCCCTCCTCCTCGCCCCACTCGTCCTCAGTGCTCCCTCCCCGCGAAGATCAGGAGAAGGCAGCAGCATGAGCTTTCGGGTGTCGTCGCGGATTTCTTGGATCGGCGCTGGGCCCCCCTGGCAGCGCCTCCGGCGCCGCCCCCGGCGCGCTCCGCGCGCCATGGGCCCATGGAGGGGGCTCCATCGCCGCTTCAAGAAATCCGCGAGGAACTCCGAAAGTTTCTGTGGGTGCAGCTTTTTGTCCCTCCCTCCCCGTCGGGTGAAGCTCATGAGCATACCCTTTGTCGGACTGCCTGCGAGGAAAGCCTGGAGGCCACACGCGGTGCGCAGCACATCCGCTCCGCAAGGTATGGGTCGACGTTCGCCGGCTGGTGCTTCTATGTAAATCCGACGTGAGTCCGACAGAAAATCTGGCGCGATGCGATGGGAGCCCGCCGTGAATCAGACGCGGATCCGACGTACTCTGGGTCTCGAGTTGCCGCGCGAGGCCTCCAGTGTTCTCCTTATCAGATTGGGCTGGTGTCAAGCCGGAATTCCGAAGCAGGACCGACACGCATCGCGGCCCCGTAGGGGCTCCACTGAGGGCCCCCGTGGGAAAAATCGCGTGGCGTCCCCGCGCCCGTTTCGGCGCACTCCTCAATATGGTCGTGGTTCTTCGGTAGATTGCCAAAGGGAGTTCAAGCATCAAAGTTACATGGAGTTGCGAAGGGTCTGGTCCTTTGCTAAGTCGTTGTTGTTCCTCTCGCTGCGCTTGTCTTGGAGGTCTCTCATTGGTTGCTTAAGTTTGGGCCAATGGGGCCGATGGTTGGAGGAGGTCTCTTGATGCTTTTGGAACGCCATTGCCTGGACTGGTCTGTTCATCCGGGCAAAACGTTGGCAGCCAGCTGTTTTTTCGTGATGCCAGAATGCCATTGTTTGGGAAGTTTGGGTACCTTTCGGGTGCAACCGTCGAAGCAGGACCCCTCCCCGTGTTGCTAGAATTCCGTTCCCCGGGCTGATTTGCATCAACCGAACGCGAGCATTGTTTATAGCCAGTCGCGCCTTGGCATTGCCCAGCATTCTTGTTTCCAGGCATGATCTTGCAGATTGATGGCCAATTGCTTAGCGACTCGTCGTTTCTTGTTGCCAGAACACCCCTCCCAGACTGATTTCCGGCGTCTGGAGCTATTTGTCTGGTATCCGATGTCTTCCGTGGTGCCAGACCTCCACTACAGCTCCGGCTCAGGTCCAGCTCCACCGCCAGCTACATCCCGATGACATCTCCTTGACCACCTCGTGTGGCAGCCACCACGGGCGCTTGCGACCATCGTGCTTTCTCACAGGGTGGTGGCACACAGGCGGTTGTGCCCGCTGACGGGGTATAACCAGGGGCAGCGATACGGGGGGATAGGCATAGGGGGGATCCATCGACCCCCAATCACCCATTGATCGCCGATAGGGGCCCTATAGCCCCAACCTGCCCAGGAACGTGCGGATTCACTATCGGAGGCCTATCGCCGATCTGTCGGCGATGATATATCGCCGATTATAGGTCGACGTTTTCCCTCTATCCCTATCGCCCCTATCGCTGCCTCACATTCAAGGCGCCGCAGAGCCATCCCTCCGTCGCGGGCGGGAAACGTATCCATCACCACGGCCTCGCGGCCGGGGCTTTCGGGCCGCGAAACGCACTGATGCGGGCCGTGTTCCCGCGGATGCCCCGCGCGTGGTTAATTAAATTGTAGAGAAGGCAATCGCTTCAGTTCCTCCCTCCTCGATCTCCTTCCTCCCTCTCCTCCGTTCTCTCGGGGATGCTGAAGACTCGAGTTCGCTGGAACTCGGGTTTGGCCGGCGCTGTCTGACGAGCCCGTCCTGGATTTTGACTGTCCAGCTTTTGTGGGATGCCGTTGAAACGCGAGCTCACGCCAGAGTACGGGCTGGGTCCCGTCCGTTTCCCGACGGCCTCGTCAGGCCAACCCGGGCCGTCCGGGCCCCAGGCCAACGTCTCCCCGACCTCCCCCGCCGCCCCCCCGCCGCGGCGCCGCGCGCCATGGAGGGCGCGGCCGCGCGGCCGCGCGAGGCGCCTGCCGCGCCGAGCTACGTCGCTGTCGCCGCATCCCCAGAGGATGGGGGCGTCGCCGCGCCGTGCCCACAAGGCGCCGCGGCGACGACGACGACGACGACGACTGGCGGCGGCGGCGACGACGACGACGTTGATGGAATCCAATCATCCTCATGACTTGTGTCAACCCCATGTGTCTGTGCGAGTGTGTGTGTGTGTGTGTGTGTGCGAGGGTGTGTGTGTGTGTGTGTGTGTGTGTGCGTGGGGTGGTGGTGGTGGTCGCGCGTTTCTCTTGCTTACCCTTGGAGTTGCCCGACCCCGCGCTACCGCGCGAGTGGCCGAGTCGCAAAAAAGTGTTTGTGTATGTGTTTGGTGTGTCTGTGTGTGAGTGTGTGTGTGTGTGAGTGTGTGTGTGTGTGTGGGGGTTTTGTGTTTGTGTTTGCGTGTGTGCATGTGTTTGTGTTTGTGTTTTTGTTTGTGTCTGTGTTTGTGTTTGCGGTCGTGGTTGTGGTTGTGGCTGTGGTTGTGTGTTGCGGTTGTGTTTGTGCTTGCGTTAATTTGTTTGTGGTGTTTGTGCTTGTGCTTGTGTTTGTGTTTGTGTTTGTTTTTGTGTGTTTATGTGTGCTGGTGTGTTCGTGTGTGTGTGTGTGTGTGGGTGTGTGGATGTGTGGGTGTGTTCGTGTGTTTACGTATGCATGGATTGCTCACGACAAGCCAGCAAATGTGCGACGCCCGAGCCTCTGGAGAGTACCGGTCTCATCGTCCAGGGGCTGCTGTCTCACAGTCGATTTAGTGTTTTGGCGTGCCGTTCGTTGCGAAGCCGACTGTATTTTTGATTTGCAACACGTTGTATGATCCGTAACCACTATGGCTCAAAATCCGCGTGGGCCGAGTTCATTGTTAGAGCCAGTCTCTTCCGTGGGGTGCTCTGCGTAATTTCTGGTCCAGGCTTCACGTTGCAGGTAGGAACCATCAGGCTTGCAACGACCCGTCGGCAGTGAACCGTGCTGCAAAAGCATGAACATCAGCATAGATATCACAATTGATATTTGATCATCCATTTTATCGAGTGCTACTAGGTGTGCAGATCAGCGCTACTTCCACTCAGTGGGTTGGGTGGCAGGACGGAGCTTTCGAGTGTACCGCAGGCATCGCGTACATCATCACCATTGTCGGCTACATTACCATATTCATATTCAGATTCGACGTGCGAGTAGTGTGCGGGTATTTTGGAGATCCTGATGCCAGGGGGACGCGCTGCCGTGGCAGCGCGAGAAACGCAATTGCATCCTTGGCTGCAGGCTTCGATACGTCGCTCGTTGGGGACACCGTGAACCTGCTTCCACGAGATGTCGCCGATGCCATCCCGTTGCAGTGGAGGCCGGTAGTGAACCAGAAGGTCTACTCTGTTCTGTTGTCGCTATTGCGTGACACACCATCCCGTCATCTCTTCAGTCACTTGCAGCACTGGCACAAAAGGAAGTCTTGTCTGAAGTACGGAAGGCAGGCTTCCCACCAGTAGTGTGGAGCGTCCTCGTCGCGTGCACTGCATGTTTGGCTTTGTTGAGGCATCGGATCGCCTGGCTTGGTGGTGTACGGCAGCTTGCGATGGCGTCTCACGCGTCCCGGTGTTTCGAGACTTCCCATGTGCAAGCCTTAAGTCGCCTTGGGGCCACTGGGCTACTGCATAGTGTCGAACTGTGGGATCTTATGTCTATTAAATTGGCAGCGGCGTTTACGAAGATTCCCGAGAGTCAGCATCTTTATCAGTTAGGGTTCAAAGCGCTCTATGTTGGCCGAGGCTAGCCGTTTCCGCGAACATGTCATGATGTTGTTGCGCCCATCAAAACAATTAGCTTCGAAACAAGATGTTACGTCAAGGTGACGGCTATGCATTGCCGACGTGCCGATCGTGCCGCAGAGCATTGCATCCGCCGTGGAGGCCGCATACATATACCATGCCCGTCCTCATGCCAACAACGGTCGATCGATGGAGCCTGGGGGCATGCCGAACCGTGTCGGCCAGTGCCGTCCGCTTATCCAGCGAATTCGGCAACGAGCTGGGAGACAGACCCGGAGAGGCAGAGAGACAATTTTGAAGCGCTTTGCTGTATGCGACAATGCTTTTCATGGTGTCATGGTCGATTCTGCCACTAAACGTGCCACGCATGAGCTTCGGGTGCAGCGATGCTTGCTCGAGACACGCAATATGCTCCGTAAGCCTTTGAAGGCCTTGTATGGGCAAGCTTTGGCATCAATCTCACCCCAGAACGGGCCGATCGACATCTGCGCGCCAGATTTCGTACCACTGCTTTTCAAGTGTGCGTCAACCCTGACATATACTATGGTATGAGAGCGGGCGTGCGCCCACAGCTCTAAGCCATCGGACTTCGCGTATGTTCTCTGGGATGCCTTGCCAGTGCCACACTCTTTCGACAACATCAAAGTCAAGACATCGTTGTCCGAGTGGTTGGCGACGCACGGGCTGTCGATCCCTCGTGCTAGGGTGGTGCGTGTGGCTGACCCGAGGAGGCATGTTTGTGCGAAGCGAACCCTACGTCATGTTGCTTGTTCTGTTCATCGCGGGCTACCTCGCTTGGCTCTTCTAGCGCTGAGGAATACACGGGTTGTTCTTGTATCTATTCCATGTTGCGCCGTGTTGCCATGAATGCAACGCGGTGGTCTGATACGTATGACACTGCGGAGTTCTACCATTTAGACCGTGAGTTGCTACACGCCGCGGCCAAAGGTACTGATGTTGCCCGGCTGTCTGTCAATGGCCGTTGGCTGACGATGGTGCCGGAGAGCGATCAGTTAGCCGTCCTTGTATCAGAAATTGAGGCCGTCACGGGACAAATCCTACCACACGGTCACACAGGGCCAAGTGTGAACGCAGTTTTGAGATGCCAACCTCCACCGGTAAAGCACCACGCGTTGTTATGCCAAGTGCATCCTATTGCAAGTCGATTGGCAGAGTTGAATCCATATGTGCTCATCACGTGCGACGATAAGGATCCATGCGCTTTCTGGTTGGCGTCGCCAGTATGTATGCGTGCTAGGTAGTTTGCTCACTTAGGTAGGGCTGGCCACGCATGGTTCTTCGATTCGACGCCAATGGCTTGGGCGGTCGATTTTTCAAGCATGGGCATGACCATGGGCTACCGAGCTGCTTCCGGCCGAACCGCAGCCCCGTTACTTCTCGCACGCTCCCGTATATGTACCCGACAGTGAAGCGAAAGTGTTGGTCAGCATTCCCAGATTTGCATTTGAACAACCAGCTGGGCCAGTCGATACACGTGTTCCGAAGCAGGCCACGCGTGCATGAGGAGCATATGTTCGTTTGCGCGGATGGCGTCTAAGAACCCATGGCTGTGTGGCAAGGCTTTCAAATTCCTGGTGCGTTATGTCTTCGATGGGGGATGGGGGCATGCGAACTTGGAATGGTCGCGGGCGAAGGTATCGTAGGCGATATCTCGCCTCTAGCCCGCAGGCCGCCTTCATGATGCAGCTCCGTTCTCATGTTGCCGATGCGGGCCTTCGCTTTCGTCCCCGGCAGTTGTCGCGGCAGATGCCCCGCAAACGTTTGAGGGTCTGTCACCAGGCAGCATCGAGGATACCTTGACGTTTTTGTTCGACCAGGTCCGCCGTCACATCGCAATTGGGACGATCAGCGTCGCAAGGAGCAAACCTTTTCACAGTGGCTTGCAGGGGTAGACCGAGAGAGAAACATAGATACCGGCACGTCATTTTTCTGAGCACGTTTGAACACGCTGTACGGCTGTATTTGCAGCTACGGTTGTATAGAGTTGGGAAGAAGATTTGTCAGCTGATATCCGGCGTGCCCATTGGCGGTCCGATCAGCAATGGCATGCTCGGCGCTGACTGCGTGTACCAAGAGTTCAAGTATGATCGCAGTTATCCTGCCGGGAGTTTCAAGCTTGCCGCAGGCCTCTACGCCGATCGTATTTTCCTTGGTTCGAAGTGTTTGTGCCGTGCATGTGTGAATTGCCACGATCCCAGAAGTTTACGGCATTGCATCTGAATTCGAGCCAAAATGTCAAACACAGATGACCAACGACTGTGCCATCCAGCTATACCTAGATTTCACCGTGCACAGGGATTGGAGACGTATTTTGATCGCGAGCTTGCATCAGAAATTCGATTGTGCGTTCAGTGGCGATATGTCGACAATGAAGAAAACGTCACTCCCGCCTTTCACATGTATATTCGACAGCAACGCCAGACTGAGACACATATTTGAACTAGTAGGCCGGCTGCGGAGATGGGAAGTTGCGAAAGATAATCCGTTGAACATGATCATGCTCAGCATGTCTGACATACTCTTGTACATCAGGTTTGGGTATGATGTGAAACATGTTTGCGCCTTTTGGCTTGGTGTGCCCCTTGACGAACGCGTCCGCGAGATGGTGTGGCGGTGCTTGGATGCCATCGCTTGTTCTTATCAACATGTGCTCCCGAGTGAAAGACAGCAGGTGCAGACGATAGAACAGCCGCTCCAGATGTGCATCGGGGCGACACTGGACGTCATGAGCGGCAAGACGTCATGCATGGGCTCGGATGCGTCTACTCATTTGTGGGCGACCCGTCAAAGCATCGCACCAGCTTTACCTGCGAGGGCGCTCGTGCATGCGTTCTGCGATATGTTCAAACCGTTCGGGGCCAACCGTGCGAGGCCCGGCGAGTCAAGTCTCGAGGTAGTTTTCGCGTTGACCACCTTCGCCAGATTGGCCGACCTGGTGGAGCCTAGTGGACAGGATCGCCATTGAACTATTGGATTTTTCGCCTGGCTTGTCTACCCACCTCATCTGATAGGATTCACGCCTGCGTGGACTGCTCACGACAAGCCAGCGCATCTGCGACGCCCGAGCCTCTGGAGAGCACCGCTCTCGTCGTCCAGGGGCTGTTGTCTCACAGTCGATTTAGTGTTTTGGTGTGCCGTTCGTTGCGGAACCGATTTGTTGTTTCGATATGCGGCGCGTTGTATCATCCGGGGCTCAAAATCCGCGTGGGCCGAGTTCACTGTTCGAGCCAATCTCTTCCGTGGGGTGCTCTGCGTAAGGTCCGGCCATGGCT